CATCAAAATTACAACTAGGTGGACAAAAATCACGCCATCTGGCGAAAAATTACGCAGCTTTTTCAAATCACGCGAGAATGTGTACAAAACAACAGAACTGGCGCCGGAAACGCTTCTGGGTCATTTTCATCCAATGTCTGTGATTTTAAAGTAATTTTGAGTGATAAATATTTTTTTTTTGCGATCATTGCACTTGCCCGGCGACAATAAAAACTACTTGCCCCGGAGATCGGGCGATTGTTAACATCAAGCCCTGCACACATCAATTCAAACCGTTGGTAATGGTATGGTATCGATATCAGCCAGTACTGCACAGCAAGGTATCGGGTATCGAGGCCAAAAACAGCATCGGTGCAACACTATTTTTAAATAGTCAAATAGTGTTGCATTAAAGATAAACCTGCTTAGAAGAATTTTTAAATAGAGTAAAAATCCATGTCCAGAGAATATGATCATCCGTAAAATGTGGTGTCTGTCATCATTTCTTATTTGTAGGTGGCTTTAGCTTTAAGCAGCAACAAATTAATCTTTGTTTGAATTTAAATGCACTTTCCCCAGCCATCCGGTTTGGTAGGATGCCCCAATCGGAGAAGCAGAAGCTCAAAGCGGAGATGGTGATGGGGGAAAGGGAGGTGGTGAACCCTGAGGTCTCAGACCAGAAAACCCTGGCCAGGCAGATCCACGAGGCCTACCTGAAGAACTTCAACATGAACAAGGCCAAGGCTCGGACCATTCTCACAGGAAAGACCAGCACCCCTGTACGTTGATTTAAAGTGGTGGGTTGGTGAGTGAGAGGCAATGACTGTGTTGTGCTGATTGCACTTTATATTATGAGCTAAACATTCATTAGTTATATCCTAAAGGAATTATTTGAAACTCTTTGTAAGCTTTAAGCAAATGAAGGTCAAAGTAAAGTGTCATTGATAGGTTCTTTATAAAGCCAAGAATTACCTACTTAATCAGTGATCTCAAGGGAAATTATTGATTTAGAAATTCTAGATGTATGAATATAGACACAAATAGTATTTATTACAATAGTGAGGCCTTTGGGAAAATGTAGTTTGTCTTTAGTTGTGTATTTATTGCAGAGTTCACGGCTACATAAACTGAAAGTAAAATATTTTGTCCATCCTAATAATATGATAAAAATAATCTTCAATTATCCACGGTTTTCTTAGTGAGATGCTTATCGAGTTTTGCAGCCAATCCAGTTGTTATTTTTATTTATTTATTTTTATTTTATTTTTTTACTCCCCGCTCTGGATTTGAACCACTGATTGAAAGACACAATTTGTTATCATTTTTTTCAACATGCTGGTATGCTACGCAAACAGCAGCCTGCTGATGGAGAACCAAATAAGACACACTACGTCCTGGAACATATTTTCTTAAAAAGGACACAATCTGTGCCAACAGTTTAGGCTTGGAGATCTATTAAAGGGTTATAAGGAATCATTCACTAAAAAAGTATTTTTTCTTTAAACTTAAAAGATGTATCTGTTGTGAGGAAATTCTGAAACATTTCCAAAAAAAGAGTCAATAAAAGTTATAATAAGGCATCTGGATCAAGATTTAGTAAACATTTTGCTGCTGTGTGCTGAGTCAGAAACTTCTGTGTTTTTAACTCATCTGCTCGCTTAAATCCGCACATACTGTAGTGACTGATGCATATTTGTTTGACTGTGTCCTCAAGTTAACTCTTGGTTCTCCCTTTCAGCCATTTGTGATTCATGACATGGAGACGCTGCAGCTGGCAGAGCAGACGCTGGTGGCAAAGATGGTTGGCTCGGCGGGGCCACTTAAGGAAAAGGAGGCGGAGGTACGGATTTTCCACTGCTGCCAATGCACATCAGTAGAAACGGTCACTGAACTCACAGAATTCGCAAAGTCCATCCCGGGCTTCGCCAACCTGGACCTCAACGATCAGGTGACGCTTTTGAAGTACGGAGTGTATGAAGCCCTCTTCGCCATGCTCGCCTCCAGCATGAACAAAGACGGACTCCTGGTGGCCTACGGCTCCGGCTTCATCACCCGGGAATTCCTCAAGAGCCTGCGGCGACCGTTCAGCGACATGATGGAGCCCAAGTTCCAGTTTGCCATGAAGTTTAACGCGCTGGAGTTGGACGACAGCGACTTGGCTTTGTTTGTTGCTGCTATCATCTGCTGTGGAGGTGAGGATGGAGAGACGCAGGCTGTTTGGGCTCTTATTGAACACAGAATCCGTAGTCACAGTTATATATTTTTATCCCATGTTATTAAAAAAAAGACCATTAATCTGTTTTTACCAGCAGACAATTTGTCAATATGAAGGCTCTCTGAAATAACCTGCCCCCTGTGAAAAATTATTAGTGCACTAGCAGCCTAGAAGCTACCATCAGGATATGAGTCATTACATTTATACACTCTTCTACGCAGAAGAGAAACCAAATATTAAATTGTTTTAACTCTGCCATATTGGAAAAAAGACTATTAGTCTATTAAAGGTCATCCTGCAGCGCCTCAATTATTATAGGTTTAAAGCCTCTTTTTGTACTTAGTATGGTTATGTCTATCTGTAAAACTGTGTATAAAGATCTTAAATGTTGAAGTATGAAAATAAAAAAAGAAATCTTCAAGGAGGGATTCCAGAACTGTAAGTTTAACAGATTTGTTTTAATTTGGATCTCTCAAATGAGCTTAACTGACAGTTGTTAAGTAATACTTTTCTTTTCTAACACACTTTGTCCCTTCACTCAACTTTCTATTGGAACGTTACAATCAGTAACACCTCCTTTAACAGGGGTAACCAATTAAAATTAGCTGGGTCTGAATAAAGAAAATCAATCAGTAAAGGTCCGGAGACATCTTTAAAAATAATCTGTTACTTTAAACAGCATTTAAAGGAGAACACAATTTTTTTTTTACATTGAGCCCTTGATTTTACGTTATTTCATCATGTTCTACTCACCCGTATTAGTTTTGTGTCATTTGGAGCTGTTCTGAAGATATTCTGTTAGGTTATATCCAAGTAACGTCTTCCTATGGGCAACGACTTGAAGGCACAAACTAAACTGTTCATAATTTATTCTTTATGGTATGCCAGCATTCAGAACATGTAGGCGAATCACTGTCCCCCAGACATCCACGGTTATATTTTTTATATTTCTATTTTTTTAAAGCAAAGCAGTGTGTCTGACGTCATCCGCGCGCGCCGGCTACCGTTCATTCTTCCTGTCCGCTGAACTGCTGCTAGTTTTCCTCACATGCCTGGAAGATGTCTAGTGCTACTACCACAGATGATCTCGCTCTCAGAATGGAATTGAACGATTCAGGTTAGCTAGCTGAATGAATAGAAGGGGTAGAGCGTAGCTGCCTGTTGCCCGGGCTGCCTGTCACAACTAAAGTCTAGCGTGCGGATGATGTCATACACACTCAGCTTTGTTTTTAAAAGACATAAATATAAAAAATATAACCGCGGATGTCTGGGGAACAGTGATTGGCCTATAGGAAGACGTTACTTGGATATAACTAGGGGTGTAAATCACATCCATCATGGCGATTCGATTCAGTATCGATTTCCTGACCCAACGATTCGATTATTTTCGATACTCAAGAATACACCACGATTCGATTCGATTCGATTAATCGGTTATTTATTTATTTTTATTTATTTTTTTTTTACACTTTACAGGCTAAACAAAGTTTCAAGTT